GATTTCTCCTTAAATGCAGCAACCAGTATCGCCACACTTAGTTATAGCTATATATATAGCTACATAACATCTCTGTGGCTAACGCGATCATCACCAGCCCTTCTGCTCTCTCTCTCTTCCTCCCAGGTACAGCCCCTAACCGTAAGGGGTAGGTGTAGCAGTTGACATCTGAGGGGATTATAAACGTTTAGTTCACAGCCCGCCCCCCACAAAGGTTTTTGGCCACTTTTCCTTAACGGGAACAGACCATAGGATAGTCACCCCTACTCTCCCTCGACCCCTTAATGGCGCCTCTATGAATACAGCTTGCCTCTTCTTCACCCTCTGCGAACGGCCACCCATGGGAAAACTAATAATATCCCTTCTTGAAAGGCCATGGAAACACTAGAATCCCCCTCTTGAGGCTATGGATAATATACTCTCTCCCTCCTTTGGCTTTCTGTCCGACTCCCTCCGGTGGGTCCCCGTTAAGCCTCGTTCCGTTAAGCCTTTCCGTCGTTTACCTTCCCTCCCTTTGGTCTCGTTCCGGTCCGTTTAGATTTCGTGCCGTTTAGCTCCGTCCGTTTTAGCTTCTCCTTCCCCCTTGGTCTCTTTTCCCGCTTCGTCGCTTCTCTCTCTTTATATATATATCATTTGTCCCGGTAAAAGCCGCACCGTAACCGTCGTTCGTCAGTGCCTGGATTCTGTTGCATATGTTACGGTAATCGTCTTGTGAGACCCCCCACGTCGTAGCTGATTACTCTTTCTTCCTGTCGTCATCTAGTTTCTTCTGTTACCTCGAGGATACAGCTACACCGTAACCAGTCCTCGCTCGACATGCCTTCATAGAACCAAGAACGTTCACCTCCGTTGGACTCCCACCATTCTACCCTTGTCTATATTGCTTACTTTTGTTATAGCCCTAGATATATGTTATTTATGCCTAACCATAGCCACTTATAACACACTGTCCCCCCAGTGAGCTCGTGACGTTAGCGCCTAACGTATTCTGTAACCTATACCGCCCCGACTCCACTCGTTTTTGGGTCCTCAACGCCAGCATCATTCTTGTGTCTCAGTTCTCTCCGTCCACTTGCGTGGTGGTCTCCTCTCCACCACATCGCTACACATTTGCGTGCGTTCCGCCGATGGCACGTTATTATCTCTTCCCCCAACTATTCCTTCTTTGAACCACCCAAGGCTCGTTCGTATGGGATACCTCCTTTGGACGCCTAACAAGCTGATAATGATACTCAGTGGTTTGAAAGTGGCTCGGTTCCATAGCCCCCCGAATATGGGGACCCAGCTTAATCCCCAATAGGGGTTTTGCCAAGGACCCACGTGGGAAAAGACGTGTGGTTTGGAAACTAGAAAAAAAAAAAACGAACAATAATCTTGGGGCTGTTTTTTTATAATTTTGGGACGTTTCTGGCCTCTGGCCCTTCTTGCCCTTGGGTCGGGCCCCGCTCAACGGTCAAGTACAACAAATGGGTGGGCCAGTGGGGTGGGGAATTTCCGACCCCCACGTGAAGGAGGTAAAATTGTTCCCTTGGAAGGGGTCATCCGTGGGGAGCCTTGCTTAGTGGGGCCCGCCCAGGCTGGGGGCCCCCCACGGAACACTTATTGGAAAATTCGAGAGTATCACAGGTGGGGTCATTATTGGGGCGATACTGTGGTCGCGTTTGGGAGATGTCTCTTTCTGTGTACGATAAAACGCCCTCAGCATCACCGGCTCCTGTCACGGATTATCTTCAATTTTGTTAATTGGTGCCTGCACTTCCTTCTCCTGATCCGTTCTTCTGTAGACAGACTTGAGGAAGAAGAGTATATATTATAGATATATTTGATCCTTGGCCCCTTTTTGGGGTCCGGGCCCCCGCTAACGGGTTCCAAAAGTTACGACAACCCCGGTCTGGTTGTTGCTATCCCTCTGTTCCCTACTTCGTCATTATGTTCTCTTATCCTTGCCCAAAGCCTGGTTTGGAAGCCTCTTTTTTTGTGTCCACTCCCCCGCCCTGAGCCCCGTTGTTATTATACCACTGTGTTCGCGGGTTTAGCTTGTCTCTGCGCTCCTCCTGTTGCCGTCTGGTCGCCATATCTATGCCTCCTCCTGTCATCCACCCCTAGTTTTCCCTGTGGTCGTCCGCTCTACACCACTACGCCCTGCATCTACCTCGTCTCCAGGTCTGGCGAGCCGCTTCTGCTTCACCCCACCACCCTCCACACATCCCCACCTGTGTTTCCTCCTCCGCTTCTTTTTACCCTCACGCTGTTCTTGTTGTGCGGCTGATTTGAAGTCCTGTTGTTGTATCCCTCTCAAGATCTGTGTGTTTTTTCCCTTTGTCCTTGTCTCTTGGTCGGTCTCAGCTCTGCGTACATATATTCACAGCTCTGTTCATCTCTCCGATATTCATCCTCACTCCCAATCGCAACTTCGGTGGCCGGCTCCGGCTGCACCCCGCCCCACGCCGCGCGATCTGCGTGGACATGCAACCCACAGTTTGGGACCCCGAACCGCCACCTCGCCGCAGCGCGCACGGCAAAACGCACTTGTTAACTGGAACCCCTTTCGCAATAAACCATATCACCGTTTTCAATACCTCCGAACCCCCGGAAGGACACATCCTAGTGTCCTGGCCAGGTGGGGACAATTCCGAAAAAACAAAATGAGGAAAGTTTCAAACATTTTGTTTTTTGAGGAAAAGGTGTCATCACCGTGGGGGGTGTGTCATTCTCTTTTTTGGACTCTCCAGGTTGTTTTTTGGCAATTTCTGTTTGTAAAATGTAGATTACCAGTTTTCCTTGGGGAAAATTTCTACCATGTTATTTTTCGTTTTACTGATCCGGGGCTTTTATACAGTACCCTTCTTTTTAACCAAGTGTTTTCCCGAGAAAGCATAAGAAACTAATCTAAACAAGCCTCTACAGACACATTGCAACTGCCCCTGCACTTTTCATCATCCACAATTTTTTAATTCCCTGCCATTTTTATTAATTTCATTATTTAGGAAGTGATCAAAACTTCTGACAATGCCAACATTTTCAAATCTGTCCTGTTTTTCAAGCCCACTTGTGATTTTTTAAAACTGCATTCATTTTATCGTGTGTTTGTTCTTTTTGTACGAATATAAATGGTTTTTTAGAGTCACAAGATTATAACTAACAATAATTAATTAAAAAATGTGTTGCTTTGTTTTAAATTGCATATAGAAAGGCTTATGCCTTGATTAAGGAAGCTTTTAAATGTGTTGTACTTGTAACAAATTGAACAATAAACGAATCCAAGTTTTTCAAGTTCAGGGGACTACATTTATAATATTGACTTTGAAAATTGGATGCATCACGATGGGTGTTTTTCCGAAATCTAATTTGCCTTTTTATAACAGAGAAAGTCCATCCCACACTTTTTTTTGGCTTGTGTGTCTTTTTGTTTCTTTGGTGGACTTCAGCGCCCCAGATGTCCAAAGAAACATTTGTAAAATTCAGCGGGAAGAAGTTTTTAAAATGTGACTGATTCATGACAGAAATGTGTTTTTGGGCCCTCAAAAAGTAAATGTATTTTCCCATAACACACCATGTATTAAAAACATTTTTTTTATAACTAATTTGCCAGCATCCCTTTTTGGCGTTATGTTTTGAAAGATGATTTGCACGTTGTAGTCATACTAATATAATGTTTAAGTAATATTATTAAAGAGTGATTGAGGGGAGGCAACGCGCGCGGCCGCCGGCCGCCAGGTGACAGTTCCTGCGGTGAGTGTTTGTTTTGTCATTGTCCTATATATATCATCAAGCCTTGAAATAAGGAAGTTCGTTCAGTTTATATCTGCATTTGGGTTGCCTTGTTTCCAAACCGTGACAGTACTGAACCGACCAAGGAATGGGCCCCAGCAGGATCCGTTCGAGTCGGAATTATTAAATGTTTCCTTTTGTTTGGCTAACTGCTCGATAGATGGAAGAGAGCACCGAGTTCAGCAGCGGAGGCTGTGTTGTCGGGGCGCGCCAGATGGCTAGAGAGAAACCAGGTATGGTGAAGTTCTTACCTGGCTGGATTCTTCAAAGGATCCGTCCCTGTGGGTGATTCCCGGCCTGCTAGCCCCCAGGCATCTAGCTCCCCGGCCATTTCCAACTGGCAACCATACGCTCGGTGGTTTCCGTCTGCAGTCAGCCCGTGCTTCTGCCCAAGTCTCTCCTGCTCTGTCCCAGGAGTCACTCATTCTGGAATCGTCTGGCTTACTGAGTCCACGAGTATTCAGGCGGCTGCTAGAGGAGGGAGTCGCAAGCCAAGCAGGCAGCCCAAAGCCAAAGAGCATGGTTCGCTCCAGAACCGGACCTTACAGCCATGTTTCCGGCTCCAGAACCGGACCTTACAGCCAATGTTTCCGGCCCCAGAACGACCTTACAGCCATGTTGCCGGCCTCAGAACCGGGACCTTACAGCCATGTTTCCGGGTCAGTGCCGGCCCACACAGCCGATGTTTCCGCTCCAGAAACCGGACCTTACAAGCCATGTTTCCGGGTCAGAACCGGACCTTACAGCCATGTTCCCGGCTTCAGTGCCCGGCTTCCAGTAACCATGGGTCCCGACTCCGGCTCCTCGGTCACCTACTGACTCCATGCGGCGACGCCAAGCTCCTCGCGAGTCCTGTCGGCGAACCCGCCGACTCCAGCACCTCGTCTCTGTTGGCTGTCGTCCGACGCCCAGCTCCCCATGCGTCTTGCAGCATACCGGCCCGACTCCAGCACGTCGTCTCCGTTGGCTGTCCTACCGACGCCAGCTCCCCGTGTCCTGATGGCTGTCCGTTCCACGCCAGCTCCCGGTGTCTTGTCGGCATACCGGCCCGACTCCAGCACCGATCGTCTCCTGTTGCTGTCCGTTCCGACGCCAGCCTCACCCGGGTTCTTGTTGGCAACCAACCCACTCAAGTGACCGTATACCGACGGTAATGGAATGTCAGCAGGTATGCCGACGGTTGAAAAAAATGATACCGCCCAACTAATTTGGAACAGTAATGTCAGATCATCACTCTCTTAAAAAAATAAGCTAGAAAAAAGCGCCAGCACTACCTTGCATTTGGTCGACTTGATTTTGTAAATGAAACACCAGGGACCACATTTTTTGTTATTGCCCGGTCCATATCTCATTAAAATATAGTTTGACCAATTGTAACTGCTGTTGCAGACATGCTGATAAATAGGGCTTCTAATTAGTTAAATACAATCACTTATTAATTAAAAGTTCATACAGCATTATTTTCATTCTTATAATTCTTTATGAGCGCAAGTAAGGTAACGGTATCTAATTACTGTATTTATTTAGTAATTCTATAACTTAATAACACCAGAGATGCGTCAATTTAAAGTAGAGGCATGGCAGAAATCCTACAATAAAGCGGGGACTGTGAAAGTGTTCTCCTGTGGAGCGGATCAAGAAAAGAGAGCGAGGCGGCGGCGTTGAGGGAGTTTACCATGGAATATTGTCATAGGGAGGGTCTCACGGCAGCAGGCATGAACCAGACACCAGAAAGACAGAAGCAACAATAACAAGGTATACTGTAGGTGGGTTTTTTGTAAACTGAACCGATGGTGGTCAAGAGGAAGTAAGTCCCTGCCCATGAGAAATACCTCAAAATTCACATTTTCCAAAAATCCGACACGGTGGTCTTAACGCACCCGGCACCACATCAAGTACGCCTCTAAATACAAGTCTATAACGTAACAGTGTCTGTCAATCACACACTTAGCGATATACACCCACATAATAATAAAAACCGTAGGCTACCTGATTTAAAACACTTTGTGGCATACACCTGTAGAATGAGTTCACAACCCTTTAGTCTATGGTTCCACATGAAACGAGTTCTTCATCTCAAAATGTTGCGTGGCAATTACATTGTAAGAAAGAAGGAGAAGAAGGAAGAAGAATAAAAAGAAAGAAGTAGAAGAAGAATGAAGCTGGTGTGTTTCCGCAGCGAGACACTACAATACTAATTGGGTGGGCTTATCATGTTGCATTCGACCACAACACGAAAAAGAAAAAAAAAACTCTCGCTCTCGTCCCACGAGGGGCAGGTCAGTTCAAAAAAGGGAAAACGGGCCGTAGCCCGGGCAACATTAGCCCGTACCTGTGCACGTCCCTGCTGTAGTGTATATTTATGTATATTTTTTTGAAAATCTAGTGTATACATCATTTTCCTACACATTTATTCACAGGTGTCTTTAACCTGGAAGTGTTCACTCCACTGTGCGGAGGAAAATACAAATAAAAAAGACAGAAAGTGTCTCTTATACCTCATTCACACCAACGATGTTTCAGGGCCGGTTCGGAGCTGGAGCTTGAAAAGCACCGGGTTTTCCTGTTCACACAGCAGCGGGGCAGCCTCTTAGCTTCCGAATCCAGTTAGATTCAAGCACCAAAAAATGGTCCGGCTAGAGAAAAAACACCACATACGTCACGCTTACGTCGAGGCGGGGGCAGGGGCAGGGGCGGGATCAACTCCTGAACAACAACAAAAAGCCGGCGTTTTATCCAGTTTGTACACAACGATGGAGAAACTTAACAAGCAGCATTGGTCCACTGAAGATACCAGCTACCTACTGGGAATCTGGTCTTCTGAAGAGGTACAGAGGAAGCTGGAGCATAATTGGCCATTGTTGTTGTTGTCGGTGTCAGCTGTGAGGGGTTTCCGCGTGGTTTGGCTTTATGAAGCAGGCACGCAAACGGTTACGTCATGACGCAAACGATGACGCAATGACGCAGCACCAGTCGGACTCTGGGCAGTGTGAAAAGAGCCGGATGTGGGCAGTGTGAAAAAAGCCGGAGCTAAACCGAAGAACCGGTTCTGAACCTGAAAAGCTCTAGCACGGAGCTTGAACCGGAGTTGCGTTAGTGTGAATGAGGGGGCCTCTGTCAGCAAGGTGGGGTGCTCCTCGGGGGCCACACGCAGCTCGTTGTAGAAGGTGTGGTGCCAGATCTTCTCCATGTCGTCCCAGTTGGTGATGATGCCGTGCTCGATGGGGTACTTCAGGGTCAGGATGCCTCTTTTGCTCTGGGCCACGTCGCCTACATATGAGTCCTTCTGGCCCATACGGCCCCT